TGACACCTCCAACAAAGGATTCCCTCAGGCAGGGAGCAGACAGGCCTTGTAGTTAAAAAGCTATTCAATGCTAATCAAGCTGGCCAATTGCAATATTCACCCTTGCCTTCAACAGACAAGAGTTCTTTCTCCCACCTGGGCATTCCACAGATATATAAATCCAATTTTCCTAGTTTCCAACAGAACTCACAACTTTTGAGGATGCCTGCCATAGATGTGGGCAAAATGTCAGGAGAGAATGCTTCTGGAGCGTGGCCAGACAGCCCAGAAAACTCACAGCAATCCAGTGATTCTGGCCATGAAAAGCCTTAGGCAACACATTGGGTTCATTGAGTTGGGGCCAGAATTTTGGGAGAAAGTGGACTTTTCCTCCCTCCTCTTTCTTCTGTGTACCATTTGTAGTTTTTGCGCACCTTCACCATGCTCCTCGCCTTCCTTCAAAGTGAAAGGTTTGGGGCCTTGGCACCTCTGATTTCCTTTGTGGGAAAATTCTCATCTTTTTATTCCACCCTGGCTTCTCTTCCACCAAATTATAAGGGATGGGGTGACAATGGGGCTGAGGGACGTTTCTGACACCTCTGCTTTTATGGCGCTGAGAATCCCGGTTGGCCCTGGTTTCCCACAAGCTGCTCGCCATCCTTAGGGCCACCATAAAAGGCCATAAAAGGCCTGGGGCTTTCTAAGTGGCCCTAAAATTCCCCTGAAACCTGTTAAAGAATAATACTGGGGGATCTGTTACATTGCAGACCTTTCGGCGGCTATTTGGATGTGCGTTTGGCAAAATAAGGATGATGAAGGAGAAGAGGAACAACAACAACAAGAACAACAGCTATTATTATTATTATTATTATTATTATTATTATTATTATTATTATTATTATTGTTTTACTGACACAACACAATATGTCACAGCAATCTATCTATCTATCTATCTATCTATCTATCTATCTATCTATCTAATTTACTACGTAATATAATATAGTAATAATAATAATAATAATATATTATTATTATTATTATTATTTTATCCATATCCACATTAAAATAGAATGGAGACACCTGTAAAACCAACTGATTCTGAACCAGGAATTTCAAAGTGTGCAAAATCCTAATGATAAATTATTATGATATGACAGAGTTTGGCAGCATTAAAATGCAACAGAGACATCTTTAATGCTAAAGGATGATGGGAGCTGTAGTTTTGCAAGGTCTTTAGCTTTCTCTGCCAGAAAGGGCTAATTTCTCACCAAACTACACCTACCAGTATTCTGTAACCTTGAGCCATGGCAGGTAAAGTGGTATCAAACTGCATTCATTCTACAGTGTACATCAGGCATAGGCAAATGTAGGCCCTCCAGGTGTTTTGGACTTCAACTCCCACAATTCCTAACAGCCTCCTAACAGTGGGAGTTGAAATCCAAAACACCTGGAGGGCCCAGTTTGCCTAGAATAGTGGTTCTCAACCTGGGATCCCCAGATGTTTTTAGCCTTCAACTCCCAGAAATCCTAACAGCTCATAAACTGGCTGGGATTTCTGGGAGATGTAGGCTAAAAACATCTGGGGACCCCAGGTTGAGAAACACTGGCCTAGAATCACAGAGTTGGAAGAGACCTCATGGGCCATCCAGTCCAACCCCCTGCCAAGAAGCAGGAAAATTGTGTTCAAAGCACCCYCAACAGATGGCCATCCAGCCTCTGTGTAAAAGCCCCCATAGAAGGAGCATCCACCCATTGTTGTAATTATTCATTAAGGAGGACTACGAGGTTCCCCCCCCCCCCCTCCATCTGGGCAAAGTTGTCCAATGCTTTCCAGAACTGGTGCCTTCCAGAAGGTCTTTCTGGAAGGTGGACAATGGGAGTTGTAGTTCAAAGAAGGCACCATGTCGGGGAAGGCTGATGATAGACCAACATCAGCGGAAGCCAAGCATTGGAAACTCTGGGGGAGCCAAATCAGTAGGAAAACTAGGGGACAGTGAATCCGTTCCTGGATCTAGTCCAAACTTGAAAGCAGCCATCCAAGCTGCCAACTACATTTTGTTGCAAAGGATGAGAATCAATGGGTCTGTTTGATTTTCCCCTCCTTCTGGGCAGAGATGGCCAATGCTCTCCACAACTGGTGCCTTCCAGAAGGTCTTGCTGGACAGGGGATGATGGGAGTTGTAGTTCAAAGAAGGCACCATGTCGGGGAAAGCTGATGATGGACCAACATCAGCAGAAGCCAAGCATTGGAAACTCGAGACAAGTAGGGAAACTAGGGGACAGTGAATCTGTTCCTGAATCTTGTCCGAACTTGATGGTAGCTTTCCAAGGTGCCAACCCCATTTTGCTGGGAAGGTCTCTTTGATGTTCAGACTGAAGCCTGGAGTAGATCCATCTCTGAAGGGGGGAATGGAGAGAGCTGCCCCCTTCTTCCTTCCCAGCTAATTTGCTTAATGGAGGCAGGGAATGAAATATGCAAGAGCGTGGTGGGATTCAGGGTCCCTTTGTTACCCAAAAGAGAGTTAAGGAAGCCTCCTTAACATTAGATCCTTGGCTTGCATAATCCCTCCCCCTTCCAATGCCAGTAATGGAGGCCCCAACATTAGTAAGTGAATGAGCTTCACCCTGGGGGTCCCCCAAATTGAAGAAGGGGGTGTATGTGTGGTTGCAAGACCCCATTGATGTAAACCCATTGCATTATTTGGGGTGGGCTTCACGTAGGAGCTTGACCCTCTTAAAATCCAGGTCTTTTGAGAACTGGTTTTGATCCCTTTCAGAACACAACCTTTTTCTACTTTGTATTTGGGGTACTTGGATTTTTAAAAACTTGGTTGGTTTGATCTTTGTTTCATTGTCTGTATCGAAACCACCGTTGGGGAACTCGGGGGGCCATCTAGTCCAACTGTTTGGCTATGTTCATCTGACGCATCCCCGAGAAGCAACCAAATAACCAGAGAAAACTCACGACCTTGTAAAACTATAGCTCCCAGGTTTCTATAGCACTGAGCTTTCATTTTGCTCCACTACCAGGAAAGTCATTGTAGTGTGAAATAGTAGTTTGAGCAACCATGGGCCCTCCAGGTGTTTTGGACTTCAACTCCCACCATTCCTAACTTCCTCAGGCCCTTTCCTTTACCCCTCAGCCACTTAAACTGTTAGGAATGGTGGGAGTTGAAGTCCAAAACACACGGAGGGCCCAAGTTTGCCCATGCCTGGTCTACAATAATGCCACATGGCTTGTTCTATGGAGCCATGCTGATCATTAACTAAATTGGGCATCCAAAAGTGGCAGGAAAAGCAAACAGGCAAACGTAAACATAGCCGATATAAGAAATCTAGAATGGAAAGGTTTTCAATGTCTTACTGTTTGCAATGCTGGAAATATACAGAAATATTCATTTGTAAAGTGGAATTCTAATAGAGGGTGGCAGTGTTCTCATTTGACCTCTTTGCAGAGCTAAAAGCATGGAAAAGAACAGGTGAAGTGAGGAAGAAAATGTGAAGATAGCAAATACATACACTGTAGAATGGAAGAGATTTCAATGTGTTATATTCCACAATGCTGAAAAATATGGGGATATTTATTTAGGGGTTGGAATTATAGCAGGGTTGCCAATGATCATCAGAAAACACAGTATTTTCTGTTGGTCATGGGGGTTATGTGCGGGAAGTTTGGCCCAATTCTATCATTGGTGGGGTTCAGAATGTGCTTTGATGGTAGGTGAACTATAAATCTCAGCAACTAAAACTACCAAGTGTCAAAGTATATTTTCCCCAAACTCCACCAGTGTTCACATTTGGGCATATTGAGTTTTCATGCCAAGTTTGGTCCAGATCCATCATTGTTTGAGTCCACAGTGCTCTCTGGATGTAGGTGAACTACAATTCCCAAACTCATGGTCAATGCCCACAAAACCGTTCTTGTATTTTCTCTTGGTCATGGGAGTTCTGTGTGCCAAGTTTGGTTCACTTCCATCGTTGGTGGAGTTCAGAATGCTCTTTGATTATAGGTGAACTATAAATCCCAGCAACTACAACTTCCAAATGACAAAATGTATCCCCCCAACCCTACCTAGTATTCAAATCCGGGCATATTTGTGCCAAATTTGGCCCAGTGAATGAAAATACATCCTACATATCAGATATTTACATTACAATCCATAACAGTAGAAAAATTACAGTTATGAAGTAGCAACGACAATAATTTTATGGTTGGGGGTCACCGCAACATGAGAAATTGTATTAAGGGGTCACAGCATTAGGAAGGTTGAGAAACACTGGCATAGACGAATATAAAGCAGTTCAGTGCAGTTAAACTGCATTATATGAATATACACGGACCATAGAAGGCAGGTCCAAATTGTAGTAAGGTAGTGTAGATCGGACCTTGGTGAAAAGCAAGGAAAAGGAGGTGGCCTAAGTTGGATTGCTGCAATTTCCTTCTAAATCTTCCCTTTGTGAACATACTTCATCATCAACATCATCATCATCAATATTATAAAAAAAAATACAAGGAATGTAGGGATATTTACATTTGGAGATTGAATTTTAATGCCTTTGTTTGACCCCTTAATATTGCTAAAAGCAATGGGGGGAAAGCAGGCAAAGTAAGCAAGAAAATGTGAAGATAGCAAAAGTTAGAATTCTAGAATGGAATTTTATATTTTGCAATTATGAAAAATATGGGGACAGTTTAATTTGGGGGTGGAATTATAACAGTGAGGGGCAATATGCTCCCATTTGACCCCCAAATTTAGTGAAATGCAAGGAAGAGGAGGAGACTTGCATGGGATGGGCCCTGATTTCCTTCCAATCTTCTCTTTGCTCGGGTGCCAAGTGTGTGGGGCACACTCCTGCCCCGCCAAACATTGGAGGGAGAGATCAAAGCAAAGGGGAGGGAGGTGTGAAGTGTCCCTTCCAGGAGTTGAATGGGGTGTGGGGTTCTTTTAGGGCAGCCAGTAGAAGGGGAGGAAGGGGCATCGGAGGGGGGAGAGGGGTATAAAAAGAGGCCTCCCTGCCTTTGAAGAGAGAGGAAGAGACACACTTTGTGGCCTGCCAAGCAACCAAGGAGTGCAAGCACCTTCCAGTCTCGGCCTGCTCCCTCCACCGCTCTCTCGACTTTGGGGTCCCGACCAGTTATGAAGATGACAAGCCAGAGATGGGAAAACAAAGAGGAGAAGAAGGTAGGCTGGGTGGGCTGTGGAGAGATGGGACGGGAGGTGATGCTGTGGGTTTTGCTCTCCATTCACATCTGGAAGGCCAACATGGGTGCATGTAGTTTTGTCTAGCACAGGCATTGGCAAACTTGGGTCCTCCAGGTGTTTTGGACTTCAACTCCCACAATTCCTAACTTAAGTGGCTGAGGGAGAAAAGGAAAGGGCCTGAGGCTGTTAGGAATGGTGGGAGTTGAATGAGAGATGCCTGGCTCAATTATTTATTTTATTTATCGTGTCAGGAGCAACCAGACATTTGTATTACATTTTTAACAAAACAAACAAACAGACAGACAAAACACAAAGTTTGCAAGCTTGGTAGTTGATTAAATGTCCTTTGACCAGTATCTGGCCACTTGGAGTGCCTCTGGTGTTGCCACAAAGAGGTCCTCCCTTGTGCATGTGGCAGGGCTCAGGTTGCATTGCAGCAGGTGGTCTCTGGTTTGCTCTTCTCCACACTCGCATGTCGTGGATTCCACTTTGTAGCCCCATTTATTAAGATTGGCTCTGCAGAGCACAGTCTGTTCAGCGCCTTCCAAGTCGCCAAGTTTTCTGTGTGCCCAGGAGGGAGTCTCTCATTTGGTATCAGCCATTGATTGAGGTTCTGGGTTTGAACCTGCCACTTTTGGACTCTCGCTTGCTGAGGTGTTCCAGCAAGTGTCTCTGTAGATCTTAGAAAACTATTTCTTGATTTAAGTTGTTGACATGCTGGCTCGATAACAGTACGTGTGAAAAAGATCTTGGAGTCCTCTTGGAGTATTTATTTATTTATTTGCTGCATTTGTGTACCACCTTTCTCAGCCAGAGGTGACTCAAGGCGGTTCACAGTCAGCAGCAATTTGATGCCATAGCAAATATCAAAATACAGTTAAAACAATTATAAAAACAATTCAACATTTAAAATGTAATATAAAAAGCAAATATATCTGTAAAAACAAGATCCTTGGTGTCTCCTTACTAAAGTTAAACACTAGCCGAATAAAAAAGCCAATGGGATATTGGCCTGCATGAAGAGGAGTCTAGTGCCTAGATCCAGGGAAGTCATGCTACCAATGCTCTATTCTGCCTTGGTCAAACCACACCTGGAATCACACTGTGTCCAGTTCTGGGCACCGCAATTGAAGGGAGATGTTGACTCTAAGCTGGAATGTGTCCAGAGGAGGGAAACTCAAAGGACCAAGGGTCTAGAGAACAAGCCCTATGAGGAGCAGCTTAAAGAGCTGGGCATGTTTAACCTGCAGAAGAGAAGACTGAGAGGAGACATGATGAGGGCCAGGGATCAAGATGTGAGGGGAAGTTCTAGGGAGGAGGGACCAAACTTGTTTTCTGCTGCACTGGAGACTGGCAGCCCTTCCACACAGCCCTATATCCCAAAATATTAAGGCAGAACATCCCATAATATCTGCTTTGAACTAGGTTATCTGAGTCCATATTCAGATAATGTGGGATTTTCTGCCTTGAAATTCTGGGATATAGGGCTGTGTGGAAGGGCCCTGGGATAAAGAATAATGGCTTCAAACTACAAAAAATGAGATTCCACCTGAACATGAGGAACTTCCTAACTATGAGAGCTGTTCAGCAGTGGAACTCTCTGCCCTGGAGTGTGGAGGGGGCTCCTTCTTTGGAGGCTTTTAAGCAGAGGCTGGATGGTCATCTGTCAGGGGTGCTTTGAATGTAATTTTCCTGTTTCTTGGCAGAATGGGGTTGGACTGGATGGCCCACGAGGTCTCTTCCAACTCTACGATTCTATGACTCGATGAAGTCCAAAACATCTGGAGGGAGGGCCAAAGTTTGCCCATGCCTGGTATAGATGAAACCCAAGCCTCTGCCAGAGCAGGAACCCACAGCAAAAGCCCTTCCTTGAGAAGAGGAGAGTCTACCAGCTTTTGATGGATGATGGTGGACTCTCTATCTTTGGTTGGTGGGGCATCTCTCAGGAGTGCCTCACTGTGTCTTTTGGTGGTGGACTCTCCATCTTTGGTTGGAGGGCATCTTCATTGTGTTTTTTTTTGTATGGCAGAGGGTTGGACTAGGTGGCCCTTTCAGCCCATAACTCATGGATGTGTGGAAGGGATCCCAAAGGCCATCTAGTCTAACCTCTTGTCAGTACAGGATGCCGTTGCTAAGACATTCCTCTGCTTCAAAACCTCCAATGGAGGAGAGTCCAGCATTTCTACAGAATGACACAAAGTGGAAAGTTTTTGAGTGGGTGCTGTATGGTGTTTGAATTGTATCTAACTTAATCATTTTTATGAGTGTTTTAAGAATGGTGAAATTTAATTCTATGTGTTGTCAAAGGCTTTCATGGTTGGAATCAATGGGCTGCTGTGAGTTTTCCGGGCTGTGTGGTCATGTTCCAGAAGCATTCTCCCCTAATGTTTCACCCACACCTATGGCAGGCTGCCATAGATGTGGGTGAAACATCAGGAGAGAATGTTTCTGGAACATGACCACACAGCCCAGAAAACTCACAGCAACCCACAGATTTAATTCTGTTTGAACGTATATTTGTAGACTTTGAAATTGTATCTTTTTTTTAAGATTGTGAAATGCTTTGGGTGTTGGATAAAAGGGTGTATCAAGAGATATAATATCCTGAGATAAAACGGTGTATAAATCATAAAAATAATAACAACAATAAATTGGAAGGTGCCCCAAAGGCCATCTAGTCCAACCCCCAGGCAGTAAAGGAACCTACAGCTAAAATGTCCAGACTCTGCCTCAAAACTTCCAACAAGGCAGAATCTGTCTCCTTCCAAGGCTATCTCCTCCATCATTAAACATATCATACATTCATGAGTTTTCCCTAATATGTAGCTCTATGGAGGACATTATCTTCCCAAATAAAAATCCCAACTCTCCAGATTTCTTGCATTGCAGAGAGTGGGACTTTGGCCCTGAATCATAGAATTCTAGAGTTGTAAGAGATGTCATGAGCCATCAAGTCCAACCCCATTCTGTGAAGAAGCAGGAAAATCACATTCAAAGCACCCCCGACAGATAGCCATCCAGCCTCTGTTTAAAAGCTTCCAAAGAAGGAGCCCCCACCACAATCCAGGGCAGAGTTCCACTGCTGAACAGCACTCACACCCTAATGTTCAGGTGGAATTTCCTTTCCTGTAGTTTGAAGCCATGTCCAGCTCCTTAAGTTGCTCTTCATGGGGCTTGTTCTTATGCACTGCCAAATAATTCAGATTGTCAACACAGATAATCCACATTATCTGCTTTGAACTGGATTATCTGAGTCTGCTGTGCTGTTCATTCGTTCAGTCGTCTCCGACTCTTCCTGGCCTCATGGACCAGTCCATGCCAGAGCTCCCTGTCGGCCGTCACCACCCCCAGCTCCTTCAAGGTCAGTCCAGTCACTTCAAGGATACCATCCATCCATCTTGTCCTTGGTCGGCCCCTCTTCCTTTTGCCTTCCACTTTCCCCAGCATAATTGTTTTCTCTATCTGAGTCTACACTGCCATATAATCCAGTTCAAAGCAGCTAATCTAGATTTTGTATGGCAGTGTAGAAGGGGCCTTTGGAAATCCCTCATACAAAGCAATCTTGTCTTTGTTCTGTTTGCATGCCCTTTACATAGAATCATAGAATCAAAGAGTTGGAAGAGACCTCATGGGCCATCCAGTCCAACCCCTGCCAAGAAGCAGGAATACTGCATTCAAATCACCCCTGACAGATGGCCATCCAGCCTCTGTTTAAAAGGCAGTATTTTCTTTAAATACTGAAAATATATTTCAACTGAAATTTCACTATGTAACACAATTTCTGTTCCTGGGTTATAAGTGTCATTTCCTAATTGGTTCTATCATAAAAACATGAGAAAAGTTCATTAAACTGCAAAATCTTTATTTTGCAGCATATTTTGCTATAGTTTTTCTATAGTTTTCTATATTTTGCTATAGTTTTTCAGTGAATATCTTGAATCTCAACTAGTTCAACATAGTTTGTGGCAGCCACAAAAACAAAGTATCTGGATAGAACAACTATTTTCAAAGTAAGTATCACACAATTAAACAAGAAATAACACTTTCAAACCAGGAACAGAAATTGTTTCAAATTGTGTTACATAGTGTTTTAAGTGCTTGGTATCCCCTGGAATTTGGTTACAGTCCCATGGATGCACATGTACATGGAAAATTGTGGGGAGACTTATTGGGGAACCCAATCATGCCCTTTTGACCTAGGAAATAGGGTTTTCTTTTTCAAAAGCTCTCCCTCTTTTTCCTATCTTCCTTTCCTTTTGTGTGTGTTCTCCTCCTCCTCCTCCTCCTCCTGCCTCCATCCCTCCCTTCTTTCTGTAGCTCTTGAAGCCCTTGATGGAGAAGCGGCGGAGGGACCGCATGAACCAAAGCCTGGACCGGCTCCGGGTCTTGCTCTTCGAAGCCACGCAGGACGAGGTAAGAGAAGCCAGAGAGGCCTCCACAGGTCTTTCTGGGGGGATTTAATTCCACATTGACCATTCCTGAAATCTCATCCCATCGCATCTTCTTGAACCTCAAGAACAGGGCATCGAGAATCGGCAATGGATGACCTTCCTGCAAGACAAGCTGTCTGCCCTGCATTGGTGTAGCTTAGCATTCCATGGCTTTGGTCCATATTTTTGCCCAATTTGGCAAAGATAATCTTCATTAAGCCTCAGCCATCTTACTTTTTTTACAACTGATTTTCAACTATCACAACATGGGCCAACTTTGGCCCTCCCTCCAGGTGTTTTGAACTTCAACTCCGACAATTCCTAACAGCCTACTGGGCTAAAAGTTTGGGCTAAATTACAACAGCACAACAACAGAGAGGAAACAAACAAGGACCTCTCAACAAAAGTTTGCTCCAGGCACTGCCAGGCAATCAAATGCTAATCAAGTTGGTCAGTTGAAACATTCACCTAGCTCCAGCAGACAAGAGTCCTTTGTCCCACCCTGGTCATTCCACAGATATATAAACCCTTTTCCTAGTTCCAACAGACCTCACTACCTCTGAGGATGCTTGCCATAGATGCAGGCAAAACATCAGGAGAGAATGCCTCTAGACCAGGGGTCCACAAACTTTTTAAACAGAGGGCCAGGTCACAGTCCCTCAAACTGTTGGAGGGCCGGATTATAATTTGAAGAGAAAAAAAACATGAATGAATTCCTATGCACACTGCACATATCTTATTTGTAGTGTAAAAAACACTTAAAAACAATACAATAATTAAAATGAGGAACAATGTTATAAATATAAACCTATTAGTATTTCAATGGGAAGTGTGGGCCTGCTTTTGGCTGATGAGATAGGATTGTTGTTGTTGTTGTGTGCTTTCAAGTCATTTCAGACTTAGGTTGACCCTGAGCGAGGGCCGGGTAAATGACCTTGGAGGGCCGCATCTGGCCCCCGGGCCTTAGTTTGAGGACCCCTGCTCTAGACCATGGCCATATAGCCCGAAAAAACCTACAACAACCCAGTGATTCTGGCCATGAACGCTTTGAACAATACAGCCTACTGGCTGTTAGGAATTGTGGGAGTTGAAGTCCAAAACATCTGGAGAGAGGGCCAAAGTTGACCCATGCCTGACCTATATTGTAGAAATATAGTAGAGTCTCACTTATCCAACCTTCACTAATCAAACATTCTATATTATCCAACGCAGTCTGTCTCCTGCCCGAATCCACAGTTGTTTCAATACATTGTGATGTTTTGGTGCTAAATTTGTAAATACAGTAATTACTACATAACGTTACCTTGTACTGAACTGCTTTTTCTGTCAATTTTTTGTAAAACATGGTGTTTTGGTGCTTGATTTGTAAAATCATAATGTAATTTGACATTTAATAGGCTTTCCTTTAATCCCTCCTTATTGTCCAGCATTGTCGCTTATCCAATGCTCTTTAGTAATAATAATAATAATAATAATAATAATAATAATAATAATAATACTTTATTTATACCCCGTTCCAACTCCCCCAGGGGAACTCAGGACATCTTACATGAGGCCACAGTATTACACAAAAACATAAAATGCATCAACACAATAAACACAGTATTACACAAAAACATAACATGCAAAAACCAATATCATAGAATCATAGAATCAAAGAGTTGGAAGAGACCTCCTGGGCCATCCAGTCCACCCCCATTCTGCCAAGAAGCAGGAATATTGCATTCAAATCACCCCTGACAGATGGCCATCCAGCCTCTGCTTAAAAGCTTCCAAAGAAGGAGCCTCCACCACACTCCGGGGCAGAGAGTTCCACTGCTGAACGGCTCTCACAGTCAGGAAGTTCTTCCTCATGTTCAGATGGACTCTCCTTTCTTGTAGTTTGAAGCCATTGTTCCTTTTCCTAATCTCCATGGAAGCAGTAAACAAGCTTGCTCCCTCCTCCCTGTGGCTTCCTCTCACATATTTATACATGGCTATCATATCTCCTCTCAGCCTTCTCTTCTTCAGGCTAAACATGCCCAGCTCCTTAAGCCGCTCCTCATAGGGCTTGTTCTCCAGACCCTTGATCATTTTCGTTGCCCTCCTCTGGACACATTCCAGCTTGTCAATATCTCTCTTCAATTGTGGTGCCCAGAAGTGGACACAATATTCCAGGCGTGGTCTAACCAAGGTGGACTAGAGGGGTAGCATGACTTCCCTGGATCTAGACACTATGCTCCTATTGATGCAGGCCAAAATCCCATTGGCTTTTTTTGCCGCCACATCACACTGTTGGCTCATGTTTAACTTGTTGTCCATGAGGACTCCAAGGTCTTTTTCACACGTACTGCTCTCGAGCCAGGCATTGTCCCCCATTCTTATCTATAATAAACAACACAGCAATATAAAATCAAACATCAAACACAAGAAATTCCCCAGGGCAGGGCCACTTCAAGAATAAAAATTTAAAATATTTTAAAAACACTGGGAGATAGGCAATATAAAATTGTCATGAAGGGGAAACCAGGATGAGGAAGGATTTAATTGCACGAACCATACATTAAAGTGCTTCTGAGGTCATTTTGGACTGGGAGTGTCCTACATTCAGTCATTGAAGGCACATTGGAATAACCAAGTTTTCAGGTTCCTCCTGAAGATTGCCAGCGAGGGGGCTCGTCTTTCAGCTTGTTTATGTTGGATAAGCGAGACTCTCCTGTAATGTAATTTGACGCAACTTTCATTGCCATGCCTCAGTGCTATGCAATCCTGGGAGCTGTAGTTATACAAGGTCTTTAGCCTCTGTGAAAATAATTTATTGTAAGATATATGCCAATGCTAAATGGAATGTTTTATTGCATGCTCATCTGTGTACTCACCCATATCTATGCATGTAAAACTTTACCATATATGATTTCATTGGCATTTCTGTTGGAATAATATGCTTTTAATAACATTAACTTAGGCTCATAGCATATTTTAGTATTATTATTCCTACTTGGCCCTTTTTTCTCCTTTTCTGGATGTGCCCCAATTTCTAAACTTCAGACACTCTTTTTCTTCCTCCCCCCACCCACCCACCCCCATGCCTGAAAAAGTAACTCATGTGCAAAGAATATTGTATTTTCATTCCTCCTTCCCCGCTTTTTTTCTCTCCCCCTCTTCTTTTGTCTTGTTTTTCTCTCCTCAGAGACTTAAAAACCCCAAGGTGGAAAAGGCAGAGATTTTGCAAAAAACAGTTCAGTTTCTGAAGACTCAGCCTTTATCAGGTATAATCTTTCTTGTATCCTTTCATTCATTCATAGTCTCCTTATGTTTTAAAACTAATTTCAATGAGATCAAAATGCAGGGAGAGTACTTAACTGCGGAAGGGCAGCCTCTGCAGAGTGTGGAGTCCTGCAAAGATGTGGGACTACAAATCCCATTGCCTCAAAGCTGGGTGATAATGAGATTTGTAGTCCCACATCCAAGTCTTTTGTGGAAATGCAGAGAGACTTCCCTGCAGAAGAACAGTCGCTCCAGAATGTTTCATCCTCTAGAAATGTGGGATTACAAATCCCATCACTCCACATCTGTGGTGATGGGAATTGTAGTCCCGTGTTTAAGATTTTGGGGAAATGCAAAGGGACTTGATTGTAGAAGCCAGAGATATAGGATCTCTGGCTACTGTCTGAGTTTTACTCTAAAATCCAGGTTATCTACTTTGAACTGGATTATATGACTGTGTAGGCTCATATAATCCACTTCAAAGCAGCTTATCTGCTTTGATAATCTGGATTATATGGCAGTGCTGAAGGGACCTGATAGGATGAAGGAACTTTGAGAAAGACAGCATTTAGCACTTTGGCTAAAATTCATCACCTGGTTTATCTACACTGTGTAATCAATGCAGTTTGACACATTTTAAATGCTATGGAATTATGGGAATTGTAGTTTTACAAGGTCCTTAACCCTTTCTGCCAAAGAAGGCAGGTGCCTCACCAAACTCCAACTCCAAGGATGTCATAACGTTGCGCTATAATGGTTGGAATGGTCTCAAACTGCATTAATTCTACAGTCTAGATGCACCCAGATGCCACTGACAATGGAGAAAACTTTACTTGTTGAACATAGGGCAATGAATGTTTTCCTTTTATGTGTGGAATCCACCTGAGTCCCTCCTGGGAGATATGGTGGAATATAAATAAAGGTTGTTGTTGTTGTTATCATCCCCTTGTTCAACAAGTAAAAAGCACATGAGCCCGAACATTAATAGAAACCCAGAGTTTTTCACATATATGCCTGAAATCCCCTTTCTCTCCCCAGCATGGCATTCTGTGAACAACCAACACTCACTTATGCATTTGTCTTTCTTTCTTTTTCTCCTTCTCTCTTCCTGCTAAACCCATCCCTTTTCCTTCCCATAAAACCCACTTCAGGTTTCTTTACTTGCCACCTCAAATGTCTGGCATTGTGGGGTAAGTGAAATGGGAAAGGGCTCTGTGTTTTGCCTGGTGGTTTCTTGTGTGGGTGGTGCGATGCCCTTCTCTTTCATGTGCCCAGATTTCCTAATCATTCTGCAACCTTTGGGGCAGTTGCATTGGGCTGCAGAAAGCCAAAGACTACCTATTCAGGTTTTAATTAAATCCCAAAGTTGGGTTGCTGTGTGCAGTAAGGAACAGGGCTCCTTTTCTTTTAATGGTTGTTCAGAAGAGGAAAGGTAAGATGTGTGGTTTGTTATGCCAGTTTGTTGTTGTTGTGTGCCTTCAAGTCATTTCTGACTTATGGCAACCTAAGGCAACCCAAGCAAGGCATTTTTTGGGATTGAGAATACGTGACTTGCCTCAATATGGACAATTTCGTAATCTTTCGGAATTCCACATTGGAGGCACTAAAAAGATTCTATATAGATCAAAGATGAGAGCCAAACGAAATCCAGATTTGAGAGAGTATTAGCTTTGTGAAACAGGAAAAAAAACATCAACAATAAGATTAGCTGATGGTTGTTCTGTCTTGCCCAGGATTCCAGGTCTTTGACCAGTAATGGTGAGTAGATCCAATGTGAGTAGGTCCAGTCTCATGTTTTCAATCGAAGTTTAAAGAAGTTCTCCAAAGTGTGAACACCTATCTCCAAGATAGGGTCAGCACCTTGGACAGCGTAATTAAAGCTCAGGTGAAAACTTGGTGTGTGTTCAACTCTCCATAGATCTGGAAAGTGCCAACTGCCATTGCTCTGACCAGCATCTGAAGAGCAGAAATACAGTGGGAGAAACATTTTCCTGGTGCAAAGATGCAGCCTATGTTCAACAGCTGAAACGATGTGCGAGCAAAATAAGATCAACAGTGATCGTGGAAACAATTATGCCACATCCACAACAGCTGCGGAAAACGCAGTATTGCAATGTATTAACTTTTATCTGTACTTCCTTTCTTTAAGATCTATTTCCAGGGAAGCCGGACACTCTGGCAGGTCTTAAAACGGGCCTCTGGTGTGGGGTGGCTCCTATAAGAGCCAACATCCTGAGATAACCGCCTGTATTTCTTCGATTCTAAGACGCCATTGGTTGTAAGACACACACTCATTTCAGTACCTCTACAGAAAATCTCTCTGTCTCTCTGTCTCTGTCTCTGTCTCTCTCTCTCTCTCTCTCTGTATGTATATATATATATATATATATATATATATATATATATATAGACACACACATATACCCATCATTGCATGGGACCCCTTTTATACTGCCATATAATCCAGATTATCAAATCAGATAATCTGCATTATTAGCTTTGAACTGGATTATATGAGTCTACTCTGCCACATAATCCACTTCAAAGCAGATAATTGGGACATGGCAGTGTAAAAGGGTCCTGGGTGTCATTGGGTCGCTTCTGACCTTCTCCCCCTTTCCCTTTTCTCTTCCTTCCTTCCATTCTTTTTCTTTCTTCCCCCCTCCTACTCTCCCTTCCTTCTCCTTTCTATTCTTCTTTCTCTCCCTTTCTTTCTTTCTTCTTTTCTTTCTTTCTTTTTTTTTCTTTCTTTCTTCTTTCTTTCTTTTTCTTCCTTCCTTCCTTCTTCCTTTTCCTTTTCCTTCCCTTCTTTTTCTTTTCTTCCTCCTCCCCTCTCTTTTTCTCCTTTTCTTTTTTCTTTCCTTCCTTCCTTCCCTTCTTTTCTTTCTCCCCCCTCCCACCCTCTCTTCCTTTCTATTATTTCCATTCTCTCCCTTCCTCCCTCCCTCCCTCTCTCCCTCCCCTTTTTCTTTCTTCCTGCCTCCCACCCTCTCTTCCTTCTCATTTCTATTATTTCTATTCTCTTCCTTCCTTCCTTCCCTTCTTTTTTCCCCTCCTTTCCTTTCTTTCTTTCTTTCTTCTTCCTCCCTTCCTTCCTTCCTCCCCTTCTTTTCTTTCTCCCCCCCCTCCCCCACCCTCTCTACCTTGACTTGTATAGATAAAAAAGCACTTATTATTCCAGGGCCCCTTCTACACTGATATATAATCCAGATTATCAAAGCAGATGATCCACATTATCTGCTTTGAACTTGATTATCTGAGTCTACACTGCCATATATTCCAGTTGAAAGCGGATAATCTGGATTTTATATGGCAGTGTAGATGGCGCCTTAGGGCCCTTCCAGACAGGCCCTATATCCCAGCTTCTGATCCTAGGTTTTCTACATTAAACTGAATTATATGAGTCCCCAGTGCCAAATAATCTGGGATAAACAGAAAACCTGAGATCAGATCCTGAGATATAGACCCTGTCTGGAAGGGCCCTAAGATGCACTGCAATTTTAGATATGTTTCAGTGCGTCTTAGAATAGAAGAAATACAATATGTTCCTGCGTCTGTATCTGGGACTCTAAATTGCCATGTTTTCTCCCTTTTTTTGGTTGACTACACACCACAGAGACGAAGCACAAAGAGGAGGCTTTCTTGCAACGATACCGCAGCGGCTACCGGGAGTGCCTGACGCAAGCCACCCACTTCCTCCGAGGGAATTCGGGCCTCTGCCAAGGCAAGAAGGCCTACTTGATGGAGCACATCTGCCACTGCATGGAGAAGATCACCTCCAGCCCTCGAGGCGAGACCCACCAGCTGCCTTCCACAGCATCCAGCCCCGGTTACGGTGACCTGCAGCAACGCTACAGCCCCGATGTGTTTGCGAGCTGCAGTCCTGCTCTTGGAGGCGCTCCCTATGTGTTGCACCCACCTCCGGCCAGTTGCCCCATCCGTCAAGGACTGCAGCCCTCTTGTATGAATGGCTCGGGTCAGCCAGATGGATGCAGCCGGTCATCTTCGCAGCAGAGCAAACTCTTGGAAACACGGAATCCGGCAACGGTGCAGAGTCCGCAAGCGCTCAACGTCTGGAGACCCTGGCCTTGAAGAGCCCTCTTGTTTTTTTCCTATCCTCATCTTGTAAATGTATATTAAATTCTATATATATTGTACATAATGGCTTTTAGGGTGGCGGTGGATTGGTGCTTTTCTTCTTCTTGTGCTTTTCTTGGGGGGGAAAAAAGACTAGACACAACACATTGCAAGTGATGTCTATACTATAACTATACCTATTAATTCCCTGGTGGTGCAGCAGGTTAAACCGCTGAGCTGCTGAACTTGCTGACCAAAAGGTTGGTGGTTTGAATCCAGGAAGCGGGGCGAGCTCCCGCTGTTAGCCCCAGCTCCTGCCAACCTAGCAGTTCGAAAACATGCAAATGTGAGTAGATCAATATGTACCGCTTCTGTGGGAAGATAATGGTGCTCCATGCATTCATGCCAGCCACATGACTTTGGAGGTGTCTATGGACAATGCTGGCTCTTTGGCTTAGAAATGGAGATGAGCACACCACTCCCCCAGAGTTGGACATGACTAGACTTAATGTCAAGGGGAAATATTTAACTTTACCTATAAACACACACTATATCAGGCATGGGCAAACTTTGCCTACTGAACTGTGGGAATTGCAGTCCAAAACACCTGGAGGGCCAAAGTTTGCCCATACCTGCACTATATTATACATATACCAGTATATAAATATATGTATATTGTAACCTCTTTAGCCACCCCAGACTGAGCAACCTATTGCAATATGTCATAGAAATACATGCCAGAAATGCTCCTGATGTGACAAAAAAATTGCCAGAAATACACAATGAATGGAATGGATTTGCTTAATGGGTGTAACAAGGACAGCTTCATCATTACTTTAAAATGTAACTTTTTAAAGGGTTTTTAATGGGAATTTTATTAAATTTTATGTCTTTGGGGAAAAAATGTAGGATGGGAAAAGAAAAAAATGAATGCAATAGGTTACTTTTCAAATATTGCAACAAGAGATATCAATGGCAACAAATTATGAGGGCAATGACTTTCCAAAGCTTTGCAAAAAAAAATATTGTATTGTCTTTTCAATCCCTCTTTGTCTCTTGTCATTAGACCTGATTGAACAGAGCTAGATTATAACCATAGGACTCTGAAGAAAATGTTTTACGTGGGTTTTGTTTTCATTGTGATTTTCTCATCCTCTGCATTTACTATCATTGTTTTCTCCGGTGGGGGACTTGGGAGTATTTTGGAGGGGCAGAACATTTCTTGATTTTCCAGGAACTGTCTATGTATGGTTTTAAATGCTCAGACTAAAGGACAGTGCACAAAACCATAGCCTTGTGACTGTTTTTAACCACCTCCTGGTTCTGTGAGCCACCTTCTCTGACCGTGCACTGATGGCAGGCCACCTTTCACATCATCGATGAGCTATCCAATGGCCCGCCACTCAATAGGCAACATTCCTTTCCTGGGACTGGACACAGCCAGGAGGGAAAAAATGGACTACTGTTGCCACTAGGAAATGGATGCATCCCTTGCCCATTTTCCCTGGATTTTCCTTTCTCTTGAAGGAAAAGAGTTTATGTAAATTCTAGCAAGCAAAAGTCTTGGACTTTAACTCATACAACAACAGCAGCAACAACAACAAAAGTCTGAGGTCTGTGTCTGCCAGTGACACCCCTAACCATGTATACTCTCTGTATCTGTCAATGCATATTCTCTAATATCTCTCTTTATACATCTGATGAACTGGGCTGTATTTCACAAAAGCTCGTGCTAGAATACTACTAATAATAAATCAAGTCTTTACAGTGCCTCCAGGACTTGTTTTTTTTTTTTTTTTTCATTCTGTGAGCTTTTGGTCTTGGGCAACTTTCTAGTTCAGGCATGGGCAAACTTTGGCCCTCCAAGTGTTTTGGACTTCAGCTCCCACAATTCCTAATGGGCTACTGGCCATTAGAAACAAAACACTTGGAGGACCTGTTCGAGTGGTTTGAAAGCTAGGCTTCAACTCCAGAGACCAGAGACTATTTTCCCGTTTGGCCATTGAGACCCAATGGGTGGCTTTGGGTGAGTCATAGCCCCCATCTAAACTTATTTATTTATTTGAAACATTTATATTTTGCCCTTCTCACCCTGAAGAGGACTCAAGGTGGAACACAGCATATATGTCATGAATGACTTTTCAATTACTGTGAAGCATAGGTTCTTTTTATTGCAATTTCCAGTGTGAGAGGGTATATCAGATTGCAGAAAAACATTTAGACAAAGAATGACATTGGACATACAGACATACAGATTCTATACAACTATATTGGATTTACAATTACATTGGTTAACAAACAAACATAGGAGAATTACATTTTCACTCAGCATTCACACCACGTGTGCACATGCATTCATCCTCAGGCATTCAAATATTACCATATCCTTTTCTCCTTCCTTGGAGAAGCACCTCTTAGGCCAGACCCTGCTTTCCTGCAGCCTGCCAACGCATAGTTCCATAATGCCAAAACTTCAAAATGCCGAAATGCCAAAACTTCTTTCCCTAAGCATAATACCAACGACTAGATCTCTGGGTTGTTGTAGGTTTTTTCGTGCTATATAGCCATGTTCTAGAGGAATTTCTCCTGACGTTTCACCTGCATCTATGGCAAGCATCCTCAGAGGTAGTGAGGTCTGTTGGAACTAGGAAAAAGAGGTCTGACATGGTGGTTGTTGGACTCCACAGAGAAGCCATTGAAATCCACAAGCATGTGGACAATTTCAACAGAAAGGAGGAAACCATGAAAATAAACAAAATCAGGCTACCAGTATTAAAAAAACTCTAAAATTAGAACAGCACAACAACAGAGAGGAAACAAACAAGGACATCTAATCACCTCTCAACAAAAGCTTGCTCCAGGCACAGCCAGACAATCAAATGCTAATCAAGGTGGTCAGTTGAAACAGTCACACCTAGCTCTAGCAGAGAAGAGTCCTTTGTCTCACCACAGATATATAAATCCTTTTGCCTAGTTCCAACAGACCTCACTACCTCTGAGGATGCTTGCCATAGATGCAGGCGAAACGTCAGGAGAGAATGCCTCTAGACCATGGCCATATAGCCCAAAAAACCTACAACAACCCAGTGATTCCGGCCATGAAAGCCTTCGACAATACATAAATGGATCTCTCTGCTTTCCATACAGCAGAACCTGACTCCCTGCACAAAATCCAAGACTCCAAAAGCGCACTTCTTCCTCTTCCTTGAGAAAGAAGCCCCAAAGTGACCAGGATCATGCTTTCCCACGGCATATTATCTGACACTCTCCATAGGTACACTATCTCTTTCCTTCCCATGGAGCAGAGCATAGTGGGTGAACAGCGTCTCTGTCTGTCACAATTTGAGCATTATTAGACTGAGTCTTTTATAGGAATATTCTGTTGATGTAGTCCCAAAGTTGTAAATTAATGATAGACGTCTTCCATCCTGGTTCCATCTCAGTTTCCTGGCCAGATGTTGATCTTCTTGATTGGTGTTGATCTTACGTTGACTTCCTTCTTAACACAAGTTAACACAGCTACCAAGTTTGCAAAATTTGTGTTTTATTTTGTTTTTTATCTGTTTGTTTGTTTTGTTCTGTTAGAAATGTAATACAATGTTCTAGTTGCGGATGACACGATAAATAAATACATAACACAAGTAATGTTGCAAACATTTCTGTTATCACTGTCCCAATTCTTATCAGACTTTACTCTTCAGATCTCATTAACAGGTTTTAATCACAAAGCAGCAAGCAGGTAGTTAGTCATTGCAGGCCTTAATATTATACTGGCATTTCCAAAATTATTAACTCCAACCACACATCCTTCCATCCTTCCATTCATTCCCACACATCATATTCAATTCATATTTGTCAAATCTGCACATTGAATTTCTTGTGACATATATACGGCATACATTCCATGCTGGAACATAACTACGAGGGTTGAATGAAAAGTAATGCCTCCACCTTCGTTATTTGGGTTTGGATAGGAATATTTTAATAAATCAAACGCAGAAATAATCCTTAGAATGTGCTCTTTAACTACCACTATTTACTTTTCCATCACAGAAAAAGTCGACATTCTGTTTCTGCAACCAGTGTCAGCATCCAGCATCGTGCACAGATCTTCTAATAGCCAAGCAAAGCAATAAGGTGATCCATATGTTCTTGTGAAATGCCGATTATGCTTGAAATTTCTTTCTGAGTGATATGACGATTGTTCTGTCAACCTTTTGCTTGTGAAACTTGGTGGTTGCTGTCATAAGGACATCCAACTCTTTGTTTGTCACGCAAGTCAGATGTTCCCACCTCAACATCTTTAAACTTACTTGCCCAACGACACACAGTACTCACATCAACACACTCACCACAAACAGCTTGCATTCTCTGATGAATCTCCTTTGGGGTGACACCTTCTGCTGTCAAGAATTCAATGACTGCACATTGCTTAAGTTGCATTGACCAACCATCTGCACAGGGTTCCATACTTCGCACTTTAACAACACAACCGTTCAATGTTAAGGCTTCCCACCAAAATGGAACTGTAGAGGAATGTCCACTGAACAAGCCAGTACCTGTCACATACCAGTACTGCCATCTGTTGAGGAGTTATGAAGGTGGAGGCATTACTTTTCATTCAACCCTTGTAGATGTTAAACAACACAGGGACAGTACTGATCCATGCAGGACACCACAGGACAATGGCTGTGGGCCTGAGCAGGAGTCCTGGGTACAATCCTTCAGGAAGGACTGGAGCCACTGCAGAACAGTACCCCCAAGACCCATCCTCACAAGGTGACCCAGAAGGATAGCATTGGTCAATGGTTTTGAAGGCTGCTAAGAGATCCAGGAGAACCAACAGGGACACACTCCCCCTGTCGAGCTCTCTGTGGAGATAATCTACTAAGGCGACTATGGCTGTCTCAGTTCCATGACCATTCCATGACACTGCCATATAATCCAGATGGTCAAAGTAGATAATCCAGTAGTGAGGATGCTACCTCTGAGGATGCATCATCAGGAGAGAATGCCTCTAGAACAGTGGTTCTCAACCTGTGGGTCCCCAGGTTTTTTGGCCTACAACTCCCAGAAATCCCAGCCAGTTTACCAGCTGTTAGGATTTCTGGGAGTTGAAGGCCAAAAACATCTGGGGACCCCA